GTTTTTTGAACTTAGACTTGAGAGATTTTCTTCCCTTCTCCGACTTTGGAATTTATTTTTGCACTTGTGTTTTTTCTCCTGCAACTTTCATTTGTGATTTTTCATGAACCTTTCATCTTATTTATAGAGAAAATCGTAACCAGTTTTGTAATCACCCAATTATTTTTAATTAAAAAATTAGATAATTATGTGTTTTGAAAAGTATGATGGGTTTTTTGAATTTTATGTGCTTATTTTAATTGGCTTTAGTGGACTTTACTTTTAACAAACTTGATGGGGCAAATTATTCAAAATCGATCCAATCCGTTTATTATTAATTTTTTTTTCTTAATGTCTTCAATATGATTATTACATAAATTTAGGGATGTACCCCGAAGAATCAACACGACTCAATTAAATTGGCGTGTCGGTCTGGATCAACACATCAAAAGATTACTAGCTTGTCCCTTTTTAATCCTTATCTATAAGGAGGTTCAAATGAAAAAATAAACGATCATGCTAGTTACGGTCGTTGGTGTCGGATCTATTGATGGTGGGGGCGGATCTATTGATGGTGGTGGCGGATCTGCTGTTGCGTGTGTTCTGTGGCTGTGGCTGTGGTGGCTTGTGGCTGCTGCGACCTGTGACCAAGCGGCGGTAGTCCGTGACCAAATATTTGGTAATCTGTGACCAAGCATTTGGTCGATCTGTGACCTGTGATCAAGCGGCGATAGTCTGTGACCAAATGTTTGTTAATATCTGTGACCAATTACTCAAAATGTGACCTAAAAATATAATAATACGTGACTCTTTAAAAATCTGTGACCTCGAAATAATATGTGACCAACTAATTTAAAAATCTGTGACCTCGAAATAATTTGTGACGTATAAATTTTTTGATATGTGACATCGAAATAATTTGGGATCAAAAAATTTGACGATATGTGACCAGTAAATAAATCTGTAACTTATAATTATGAATATGTGACCATTAATCACAAACTGTGACTTTATTATCTTTATTTAATAAATATTTTTAATTAATTAAATCCATACCTGATTTTTGAATTTTTAAACTATTTACCTTATTTTTTGAATTGAGGTAAAGAATACACCTTAAATATGAATTTTTCCCTTAACAAATCCCGCATTGAAGATGAACTGTTTGATCCGTTGAGCTACCTAATCGGCACATCTCAGTTGGCGACCCAAGTTTGACATGTTCGATAAAATTTTATTGAAGCCCGAATCCAACTGTTGCCCGTTATTGTAGCGGGTTGTATAGTCGGAGTTGAACCAATCGTTTTTTATAAAAATGTGAATTCTTTCCCTTCTGAAGAAACATATTACCTTCTTCCCATAAAAATAAGCTTGATTTCTTTTTTCGTTTGTCACAAATTATAGGTAACTTTCTTTTTTGAATATACCTTGTTATCAACAATTATAGATTAATCATATTTAAATCATTATATAATGAAGAGGTATATTGAGAAAAAAAATTATATTTTCAACAAATGAATTACATTTTCTTAATTTGTGTGTGAAAATAGAAACAAGTCTAGCATATTTTAGAAACATGAGATTCGTACATTTCCAAACATTTATTTCCAAATATAAATGTATGAATCTTATATATTACATGACCTCGGGCCATTGAACAATAACCAGTACAACCCGATGTTAAGACGGGACAACCCCATGACCAGCCCATACGAGGCCCGGCCAGTTCTCATACCCGTCAAGAATTCTGAGGCATGTTTTACACAAGTCTTAACTTAGCCTCCTTTTAGTAGAATTTATAAATCATTTAAATATAATCAAACTTCATTTTTTTACCACACATTTCAATGCTTCTACAAGTATAATCCACCGATCCATCACTCATTTATATTCATTTATAAATTAAATCGTTTATAAATTGTTTTCTAAACTGATGCTTAGTAATTTAACACACACTTACAATCATTACCACTTTACCCTTTAACATCATATACATATATGGTGGCTTGTATTAATTATAATGGTACTTTCCCAGAAGAATCTAACCAGATGCAATGATGGGAGATGATTGGGTGGGAAAGCTGTGTTTAAAACAATCCAACAATGAAATATCACGTGACATTATATCAATCATCATATCAAACTTTATATTCATGTAGCATAATTATTGTATTATTAGTTAGGTGAACCAAGTATTCCATTAGAACCCTTTCCAGGAGACTCCATCTGTAACAAAGGTCATTTCCAAAAGGGTAGTCGCTTGGATACGACTATTACGAGCTTACTCTTAAAATTGGTTCGTAAAGAGAGGGTGTCGAAGTGATTAGAAATTGACAGGCCAAATCTTAATTTAGTGAAGTGAGACAGCTAGGATTTGCTTTTTTCTATATTATGGCACTGTCCAAATTTTAGTATTTTTTGGGAAAGTGAAATGAAAACAGCAGAGACTAAATCATAGCTAGACATGCAAGTTTCTAACTTTTTGAACTCTAAAGAATTATTAATTTTCATCATCTTAGCTAAACATCTAATTAAATCATAGAAAATGATTTTCCAAGAATTTATCTATTAAAATCAGCTACAAAATCCAAACCAAATGATGCCCCTTATGGATGAAATGCAGTCACATCTGAGGAAAACGAGCAAGGAAGCAATGAGAAAGGCACATCTGAGTGCAACAGCAAAGATGAGAGACAGAAAATGGAGGTGGGGGCGGATGGGGCGTAGGCACAGAAACCAGGCTCGGCTTCTGCAATTGTGATCAACAGGGAGAAGCTTGTGACTAAAGTCATCAAGGGAGTACAGAGCTATTGTGTGTAGAGATGGCAAGGCTTATAAAATTTGCAGAAAACAGCAGGATTCCGCCAGAAAACATGGGTCTTGTAAGCTCGTTCCAGGCAAGAACATTTAGTCTTACATATAATGAACCGGGTCGACTTTGATTCATTTCATAGACGTGACAGTTACTCTCATTTTTTTCAGGATTTGGGACCGACTTGGGAGAAGCCACTTACACCTAGCAACTTAGGGTGCAAGAACACTTTGTCGTACATGTTCATCTAGTTCTTATTTACACGTCAACAAAAAGCAAGTCTTACTCACAACATGGATCTACTTCGATTCATTTCATAGATGTGACAAAAGTTCCACTCATTCCTAATCGGAATTTGAGATCCACTACCAAGAAATATTCACATCCAGAACTTAATGTCCTACATATTAATCTGATTTTTATTACACATCAACAAAAAGTAAGTCTTATTCTTAATACAGGTTGATTTGATTCATTTCAAGGACATGACAAAGTTCAGCTCTTTCTTTATCAGGATTTAGGACAGACTACGAAGCAACATTCACATCTAGCAACAACTTATGGGTACAAGAACACTTTGTCCTACATATTGAATAGGTATTCATTTACATGTCAACAAAAAGCAATCCTTATTATCAATGTGGGTCGACTTTGATTCATTTAATGGATGTGACGACAAAGTCACTCACACGCTTTATCAAGATTTGGAACCGTCTAAAAAGATACTTCCACATTTAACAACTTACGGGTGTGAACACGGTCCTACATATTGAATCTATTTCTTATTTACTAATCACCAAAAAGCAAGTCTTATTTTCAATATGGGTCGACTTTATTCTTTTCATGGATGCGACAAAGTCACTCTCATTTTTTACCTGATTTTGGTCCAACAATGAACAAATATTCACATCTAGCAACTTTGGGGGTGCAAGATTGTATTATACTTGTAACTTCTTGTCTTGATTGTCATTATGTGTCAGGTTCTTGTATGCATAAAGCATGCATGGATGAGGAATTCAAAAGCTCAGAATTAGTTGTTGGATCTGAAAGGGTAGATTCTGAAATTGAATTTCTTATCCTAGCAAGTACTGGCATTTGGGAGGTAACAACTTTAATCAAATAAATTGATGTTTGTGAGAGATTTGTCTCGTTGGAAATCTGGAAATTCTATGAACTTAATCTGTGTGAAATGATAAATCTTGGACACATAACAATGAACTAGCCAATCTGAGTACTCAAAGGTTGTGCACTGTAGGAGTAGGACGGCTTGGACGGCCTGGGCCGTGTTTGGCCCCACGACCAGCACCACTTCAATCCCCTTACCAAACATGTCAAGGTTCAACCAACAATTAATTATCATCTCTTTCTTTGTGTTTGATCATATTTCTATAGGTTACGAAGAACCAACAGGCTGTAAATCTGATAAGCCACATAGAATGCCCTCAAAAAGCTGCAGAATGCTTAGCAAATGAGAATTTGAAAAGAATGAGCAAGACTGCTTTCTTGTTGTATCATTCACTTTGATTGATACATCATGTTAACTATTCATTATTGATTAATCTTGCTCACCATGTTGCTAATTGTTGGTTGACACCTCTAATATACTAGGGAATAATTTTGGATATTAGAGCACAAAAAATTATACTTCCTTCTAGCTATACAAATGTGTGAGCCGTCCATGAATGAGCAGCCTGGCCAAGGCAAGTGCTTGTCAATCAAATTAAGCTCTTGGTCTCAACTGTTTGTAGATTATTGCTAAAAGGGTGAATAATATTCAATATCTCAGTAATTTAGGACCTTCCCCCAAGCAGTGATAACTGTCATTCTAACACCTCAAGAGATTCTGTCCATTAACACAGTTTATGGCTGCCCAATATTGCTTATCATCATTTAGCTATTAAATTCATTATTCTTGTTGCTGGCCATGTATACTTGAACTTATTATCAATGAACTCATAATCCAGGCTCCACTTTAGGATACAAAATAAAGCAATGATCAATGTGCAGTTCCAACGAATCCAACATGTCATGCATTTGATTCCAAGATCGGTTTTACGGACGTGCAAATATCTACTTTTAATTTTCGCAGCAGCATAAGTTGAAGTATTTTGACACACAAGATTACAGGAAACTCAACAATTAACAAATCACTAATGCATCTTACGTTCATGAGAAAACAGTAAGACTTCACCTCAACAGACTTGATACTCTACGAAGCTTGTTTCTTTTCACTTGACTTGCTCCAAAATGGCAATAAAGAGAAATGCCGAGAATCTGTAGCAAGGAAAAATAAATAAATGAAAACCCGATTTCAATCATTTTACCAATAAAGATTATAATGAGCACACAAGTTCACAAAACGACTTACGCTTTTGAGAAGCGTTGCTAACAGATGGGGTTTCATCTTGTGAGATCAGATTCTTCAATGTATCAACTGTAACAAAAAATACATGTCAGCAGGCAGACAATTTAAACTTTTAGTGACACCACCAAGGTCATCATTTTCCAAGCATGTTAAACATCAAGTGTGGGCATGTCTGTCTGGTAATTTTCCAAACCACCTAAATGTCCTAGAATCTCGTGAGTTTCGTAAGGTCGCGCTTGTTGCACTGTATCAGGGCTTCATATTGCACTATTTTAATACCATGAAGTGTTATGTATGAACTTTGTATTGTTTAATTAATTTCGGCATACAAAATTAATACTATAAATACAATATTGTTAATCCGCCAGAAAATGTGTATTGAGTTGTCTGGTCATGTACTCTATTAATTGATATCATTTTCGACTTCCACCATCATCACCACCAGCCGCAATAGACCTTCGTCAAATGCCAGCAGTGGGTAACAGGAAAAGCACCATGGCTCGATTAGTGAAGGTGAAGGTCCCTCGTCATTTGAGATTAACCAAATTTCTTATTGTATTTGAATTATCTGGAGAATGCCTAGGGGATGGATCAAAAAGATTGCCAATCAAACATATTTCTAGATTTAATAGAAGCTCAAAGAGGTGGATAGGATCGCAGCCACCATGGCTTATTAAGCAGAACCATGCATCTTATATATTTTGGTATTAAGTCTTATAATTTTCTGGTATTAGTCTTCAAGGTAGAGAATAGCACATCACCTGCACTTGATGCAGTAGTATTTTTTGCACGATCACCCTTATCAAAACCATCAATACTTGCACCACCTGATTCCACACTGAAATCAACTGAAGCTGAAGAATGATTCTTCTTTCCGAACTTCAAAAGTCGTTTAAAACCTTTAGACGATTCCTTTACTGGAGTCGAGTCTAGATTTTTGTCCAATCTCAGGGTTTTCACATCAGGAACATGGGCTTTAGCAGTTTCTTTGACTCCTAATGCCATATCTGAGCTCGCTAAGGGTGCTTTGCCGTAATCAGTCTTTCGAGTGCAGGGGTCTTCCAAAGAGGAGACCCGAGCATATGGAGCCTGATATGTTTTTTTGGCGGTGATAGTACTAGCAAACTTTGGAGGGTCCTTCTCCTTATTATTTATCCTCACCTGAAATCATAGTATACTATAGTGTCAAAAGCCAGATACAAAATTAGATCAAACCATATCCTGATTAATTAACTTAAGTAACTAAAAAGGAAAGGAATTCAAAATCTCGATCACAGAAACTGTTCATCACTGTAGACCATCCAATAAATTCCCCATTAAGATTTACATCATGTTTTGCAAATGACAAGGAGTTTCAATCCCTTCCAAAAGTGAAGGAAGAGATTGAAGTAATGCATAGTCACATTTTTTAGATTTGTATTCAGCCAATCAGCCTGTGTATGATAACCTAACATCCTTAACAATTGTATATGATACAATGAATAATTATGTAAACAGATCTAAGCATGTCTAGTATTATAATTACCTCCTTTGAAACCTACATTAAAGTTATTCACAAACGTGACACACATTGAAGGAAAGACATGTTTTGTTGCATATTTTTAAATTCCTATTCTTCAAATACACTCAGTTGATGACAAGCCAGTAACATGCTTAACAACGGCATAAAAAAACAAATTCTTTTTTTTTTTCAGAACAGGTGTTTGCATTGTCTAGTCTACTATTCTAATATTTATCTCCTTTCAAACATAAATCAAAGTATTTCAGAAGTGTGTTATATATGATATTTTAGAAAATGGTAAGAAAGAAATAGAGTCTAAACCATTCAGCTTATGCAAAATGGAAGCAATTCTCAGTTTTACACATCTTACTGAATTAGAATCTGATTGCTTTTGGGTTTGCTTAGGTAAGAAATTTGTATCAACTCCATCCATGGGCAAAGTTGGTGCACATATAGCAGTTAGCTCAGACCTGACGTCACTGTTCTCTCCTTTGTCATGATCATCCAACCTCTGATCACGTAAGCTCATCTTTCCCTCTGATGAATGTAAAGCAGGAATAGAAGGCTTCTCATACTCTAGCATCACAATAGTTTTCTCAATTATTGGGTTGTCATCTATATCACTTTGATGTGCTATATTGCAATCTTTCACATTTAGTTCAGCATTTTTAGAGAATGCAGAAGGCTTTACTCCATTCAACTGCAGCATGTCCTTGACCACTGATTTGTTCTGGCCTATGTTCACAGGTGCTTTCTCTGTTTTGATCTTTAGTTCAGGTGGAGTTTCAGCCTTACCTTTATCGAGGTTTATAATTGCAGATATTTTGTTCCTCTCAGACCCCATGGACAGCTTTCTCTTGGATAGTGCTTCAGCACTTCGGACTTTCATCGAAGTAACAGGGTGATTGCTGATTGTTTTGGGCTCTGATAATCTTCTAATCCGAGCCGTGGAGGCCTTTGAATCCAGTGTAACAACATTGCTTTCTCTTTTTGGCTCGGACAACGATAACACTGACCTACTCAACCTATTCCCTGCCAACTGGCTACGCTCACTTACTTTACTGGCTTTAGAGGCTTTTTGTGACTCACTGGATCCAATTGAAGTTCTGACTTTGGATCTCTGCAAGGGTGATGATGACCCAGGTTCCGAATCACTAAATTTGGATCCTCTGTTAGTGATGGGAGTAAGTTTCGATGGCAATTTCTTTGTTTGAGGTGAGGGCAACGATGATTTGGCAGAGGTGGAACTTCCTCTAGATGCAATTCTCTTTTGTCTCTCCAGCTTTAGAGCTTCAAGGCGCTTTAGTTCTGCCTCTTCCTGTGAACAAATGATCTTTAGAGCACGGAAGTTTATTTAAAAAGATAAACTAATTAGTTGATATGCAAATGAAACACCAAATCTTGATTCAGTATTTTTATATCTCAACAGATCCCACGTGTCGTTCTCTTTTGTATCTCATTTTTGTTTAGCAGCGAATCAGTGCTTCAGCATATAAAGAACATAAAAAAAAAAAAACAGAAAGAGTCCAATGTACCTTCTCTTTCTTCATTTTCTGGAGATCGGCTTTGAAGGATCTCAACTGTTTGGCACGTGCTCGTGCATCTTCTAAAGGATTTATTTTTGATCCTTTTTCCTTCCTTATAGGTCCTCCAGTTCTCTGCTTATTCAGAGAGTCTGAAGTAACCTTCGACCTCCTATCCTTGTCTGATTTTTTTATTCCTCCCTTCACATTAACCACTCCTTTTTTCCTTTTCTCCTCTGAAGTAGAACCTTCCTTGCATACCTGCATTTCATAGTCCAGAGCAGGGTCATATCCACTGGACCTCTTTTCTGTCCCACGTGCAGGCATCAAGTTCAAATCATCAGGCTCACAATTGACTTGGTTCCTGATTCGGCCAGAAATGCTTTCTGATTTCTGATGTTTTGATGGAATCTCAGGATCTAACTCAATAACAGTTCTCTCCCCTACTCCATCTTGATCTATTGACATTGACCTAAATGGTACTATAAAAGTTTCATCAGCCATACCAGATGATGACTCTCTATCCATCTTATTGACAGCACGCTCAAAACCATCCACAGCTAATGGCTCTGATGACTTCCCAAGGTTTGATTGGTTCCCTCGACTACCTATCATAAAACTATCACTCATTGTTTTAGATGAAACCATCCTTCTATTTGTTTCCGTGACTTGCATATTCATTTGATCGGCATATCCTCTGAAATCATCATTTCCTCTAGATAAAAGAAATTCATCACTGGATCCCATGGGCCTGCTTGACATACTTCCCACCAATTTTGTGAATTCCATTCATCCTAGTATCTTGTATGTCACCTGTTTCTCGTCCAGCAAGAGCCAGTGGGTCGTGGCAGAAATTATTTGCTTGTCTACTTATTTTAATATCTTTTTCCATTGCAAACAGGCCCTCATTAGAAGTATGAGTACCTTCATTAGTTCCTCTGAGTAAACATTTTTGAAATGCTTGCCATTGTCCATCGTCATTTTCTTTTCTGGAATCAAAGACGTGGTCATTTAAATTTGGTTCATCCTTTGATTTCAAATGGCTTCCTTTTCTGGTCGAATGTCTCGAACTCCTCTTATGTATTACATCAAGACCATCAGCTTCAAACTCTTCATTTTCTAAATCAGTATCTGAATCTGCACTGGATTCACTATTTGATTTTGTCACTTCAGAAGTGATGTAATTGATGTTCCGAATGACAACCATGCCTGATTGTTTTTTAACAGATCTTCCAGCCTTTTTCTGTGCTTCCAAACTGTGTGAAATTTCCTTATCATCCTGTGATCTTATCCTGTCACTCTCCCACGTCTCTGACTTCGTATTGCTATCTCTACCATCAATGGGCTGCCTCTTTTGCCCTGTTGGATGACCAGCAGGTGGGGAATGCTCCATTGGTGAGGGAGGTGGCTGATAAAAAGGGCCATTTCCGATATAAGTCTGATAGTATGGCATTCCTTGAACAGGGTATGCTTGAAGAAACAGTGGAGCACCAGGTGGAGCATGCACAGCCCATGGAGGAAACATTAGATGAGGATACTGTCCTTGAACATGGTTTTCTTGACCATTATCTGCTGGAGACCTTTCATCTGGAAAAAATTTGAACATGATATGTCTACTACCTCCCCGGAGAAAGAAAAAATGATATAGACAAACCACATGCAGTTGGAAAATAAATAGAGGTCAGAACAATTAGAATACAGTATGAATTTTGTAGGGAAAAGAACATTTAACATTTGTAACCACATTTATGTATAAGAAGACAATTGAAAGGCTCGCTAATTTGTATCCCGCTGCAGCTTGATGTAAGACCACCTATATGCAACAAAGAGGCAGTTCGTTTGGTACTGTTATATGCTTTTAGTGGATGACCATAAACATTGCTCATTGAGCCATCCAATGAGAAATTAAAAAAAAATTCCCTTAACTCATAAGTCTACTATTCAACTGTGGAGATCATTAGTAACAACTAAAAACCAATATGTTGGACGCATTACAAGTGAGAACCCTACCAGATCTGTGATTTGTAGGGCACGTGTTTGGTGGCTAATTTCCACTGAAAGCCAATTCCCTACCACTAAAAGAAAAAATAAAATAAAGAAAACTCGTGTCACTCTCACTGACGTTGAATATAAATGCCACTTCATAAAATTGAACTGGGAATGCCAGTCTTAAAGAAAATTATGATATGATAATTATTGGAAAATAGTTTATTAGTGGCCAATTTTGAGCTAATACCTGAGTGGGTCCCATAAACCAATTTTGGTGGAACCAAGGTCGAGCATCTTCTCTGTAAGAAGATGTTTGTATTTGGTTACTCAAAACTATTTGCGGTTGAATGAGAAATTAAGTCTACTGAGTGCCTATTTAAATAGAAAATGGAAGTGAAAATTAGAGGGAAAATGGAGAAAATATTGGTGTATTAATTGGATAATTTAGGCCCAGCTTCATCTCTGACACAAGACAGGCACCAATATCAACTTATTCTTTTTAATATCCCACTTAATTGGAATCTGGTATATTTATAGGATAAATTAGGTCCAGCTTCCTCTTTGACACAAGGCCGGCAAAACTATCAACTTCTCCTTGAAAGCCCACTTAACTGGGATCTGATCCCACAGCTATGGTTGTCCTTAGAGGTCCAAATTCGGTAACCAATGATTAATTTGATCGTCACACAAAAATTAGTACCTGAGATGGATGACAAATTCCAAGAAATAGATCCTAAATAGATTTCTTTCAAGGCCCAGTACATCTAAAAAAAAAGACTATCAATTTCACCTCTTATAAATTAAAAGTCAAATCAGTCTGCTGCATCAAGCACTCATGTGTAAATGGAAGCAAATACGAATGATTTTGAAGCAATTCAGAAGATATAACTGAAGGATGGAGCTCTGTTGAATGTTGGCATTCCCAAGCAGAAAAAGGAGTAATTTAATGAACCCTAGTTCTCTTACCAGTGTTGATGTCTGAGGCAGATTTTCCATTATTCTCCAAGACCACATCATGGTTAAAGTCATTATTTTTGTTGGGCGCAGAAGAAAGAATGGCACTAGATGAATTCATTGCTGAGAAGTCTGATCGAGTAGACATTGCCTCCGCAGCTTCAATGTCAAGCCATTGCCCATTTTCATGCTTTCTCTTCCACAGCTCAATGAACCTTGAGCAAGCTTCCCTGTCATATGGATATAACCCATAGTTACAAAGTTTGTCAAAATAAAGTTGCAAGAAGCCCTTGAGAATTACAAGGATTGTCCTCTAAATAATAGATGGGGAGGGAAAGAGCTTGAAGCAAAAGAAGAATTCAGGCTTACATTAAACGTGAGGCTCCAAAGCACTCAGCAAATGATAGAAGTGCAGCCATGTGATCGATATCAAACCCTGCTGCTACAGCTCGTGCAAAAGCCATGCCTTGTTCTTTTTGTAACACTGTTTTACGGGTCTCAAGGACTTTCAAAAGTTGGACTCTGGTTTACCGTATGATGAAATGCAATCAGATTAAGCTCTTTTAAAAAAATTCTTGATATCGTTCCTTTTCTTAAACTTTCTCTAACTTCATTGGCCATATTGATCTTGAATATCAAATCAAATATATGCAGAAGACAGATGAGAGAAAGAAATCAACAAAACCATAAATATTTACAAGTGAATCATCAGATATCCAAAAGAATTGCTATGTAACAACCCGGTTGATTTTAGGATGGGATATGTGCGGTAGAGGGTAGTTGAGGCATCAAATGAATATGTTTGTGTATGGATCGTATCCCACAAGGATGATAAACAGAAAAGTAGCACACACACAAAGCAGGTCCCCAAAGAAAATATGGTTTATAAATAAATATCTAACTAATATAAGTAGAAGGGTAAAGGGCTTACAAGAAAAAACTAAAATATAGGTAAAGTAGAACAGCAACATATTGATATGTTAGTGTGGGTTTGCAAAACATACTACAGGAGAAATAATATAGAATAGCAAATCTACATTGTTACGTATTATATCATCTAGGACAATATTTTCCACTGCATATCCTATGACCTTTTCTCAGAATTCCGCAATTTATATTCTAATGTCTCACTTCCCAAAAAAAATGATGTACAATTTCCAGATCAAATGATAATGTTTCAAAGGATTAATAAGTGCAATCACAAACACAAGTAATTCCTCTGGAAATGTAAATATTTGCAAAGGAAATCCCATTATAGCACTACAGTACATACTTCGAATTTTCTTCCTGTGACGACGACCCTTTTGCTTCAGATGTTTGTGAACCAGGCTGTCAGAAAACGGAAGGGAAGTGTGAAAAAATGCAATGTCCAAAGAAGTGCAACAAAGGAACATGATGTTGAACACCTATTCACCTTGTACAGGATAATTGCTTTTTCCTCATTTGAAACAGCTGTAGATTCGTTGCCTGCCAAAATGAATTCTGTATTAATAGTTTGAGTCATCATTTACCATTGGTCAACAAAAGGGAGCAAGACTAATCAGCAAAAAGGAAGGAAGAAGAACAGCTGATGAGTAACACAAAATGTCAATTTCCAACAATGGTATCCCTCCTCATGAACCTATAACATTTAGCTTCTAGATCTAAATTAATACCAAAAAACAGCAAGAATAAAGTAGAAACCTAACATGTTAAGTAAACATTTTACCATATCAAGAACATGCGTTTGAAGGAGGAATAAGTATACTGTATACCAATGCAAATAGTCCCTTTTTGTACATATAACGTCCAAATATACAAATGGAATGTAGGTTGTACCTTCAAAGCTTCCCAAAGGTTTTCCTTGATGGTATTCCACCTGTCAATGTCAAGAAAACATTAAAGAAAAAACCCCCATTAAAATGGTGTTTTTATAAGTATAGAACAATAATTCTAGTGGATAGTAATTACAGTGCTGTGCTCAATGTCATTACTGCTCTGTATGGCAATTGCCTCCTCAATCTGTATGATCTGCGTTTCTATGGTGTACACTCGTTCCAAGATCTCCGGAGTGCTCACAAAACGAACAAACCTATTAAAAGTAGCAAAGATTATATCCTTTTGTTCACTACGCTTTAGCTTAAAGACAGGATGCTGAACACTGGCCCTCAAACATAGAAGCATTGATGACAGCACAGTTTTCTTTATGTATAGGGATTTTATAAGTCAAAGAATTATCCCACAAGAAGAAATAATGCTCAACTAAGCCAATTGAATTAGATTGCAATAAAGTAACTGAATCGAGGAAATTCAGATCAATAAAACTGCATTACATATTCCATTTTGAGTATGGATTATGATTTGGCAAGTTAGTAATGTTTATCTAAGCCCTTGTTTTTACTCACTTATCCACCACTCGTTTCTCTGTATTTATAATTTAAATCGATTATAATCTATTCTCTAACAAGGGCTAAATATTGGCTTTTTCCAGATAAGTAAATGTCAGACTCATATTTACACAAGTGAATTTCATTCCAATGGCATAGAATGGGATTATTTTACATTAATGAAGAACGTTGTGATGTTTATTTTCATATAACTGATTTGAACAAATTAGGTCAGAACAATGATCTGCAATTTTAAGGATGGTTAAGTAGATGACTATAATAATTTCAGCAGTTAAGCCAACTAGCAGCTTTTCAAGAAAACGTCCAAATTTAGCCTATATATGGCTCATGTTTATAAATTGTTTATAAACACTCAGTCACTCTTTATCCACACATTTGAGGGATCCACTAGTACTAGCACTTATTGACCACTCATTTCTATCTATTTATAATTTAAACCATTTATTAACACTTCCAAAACATGCTACAGTTTCTCAATATAAAGGAATACATCAAAAATCAAGTTAGCTTGATAAAATTTAACTCTTAACCCACAGCAAAACATATCAGTCAACTTCAAGATAAAGAATGAAAATCTTCTAAAAACATTTGCACCAGCACTAAGCAACATTAACTCGACATTTTCGGCAAAACCAGAGTGTAACTCATCATTTTGCCAGAATTCTAGAATCTCACCACCATGACTTCCCAAAGTAGCCGAAGACAAGGCATCGTGAAGACGGTTAGATAGTACATAAATATGAGCTAAATGACTTTAACTACACAGAAAAATGCCAGAACTCAGCAGATGGATTTGCTACAATAGATACACAAAACGTGATATGACATACAAGTATACAAACCTTTCCAGAGTGGTCTTTGTAAACCATGCTACATCATTGTTGGGTCCTGGTTCGAGCAAAATCGTATATCCACCCTTAGCATTCTGATCTTGAGCAGTTTTCAGGTGGGCAAGAAAAGGATTTAGCAATCCTGAAGCAATTTTCTCTTTCTTATCATTTGATATGATAATCAAATCACACCTGAGAATTTAAAGTTCATAGGGCTAGCATTAAAAAGTACCAAGTTGAAACTAAATTTTCTCTGTAGAATCTCAATGACATTAGCATTGCCGAAAGGACATCATGCTCAAACAATATAGAATCACTAAAAACACATAAATCATAGTATTAATATTCAAAATAGTAAAACGTGAAATGATAATGATATCATTGAGACTTCTGCACCAAAAAAAATAAATAAATAAAATAATATATATATATTAAGGCTCTTCATATTTTATAAAACAACTAAAGAAAAGTAATTTAAATATGACTTGGTTCAAGATGGGTTGCATGGCGAGTACATTTTTTAAGATTGTTCATTATTTCACTTTCTTTTTGTACCATTTCAATTTCAATCAGCAAGCCACCCGGAAAATCAAATTTAGAGAAAAGCATACTATTTTGTCCGGATTCCCTTCATTTTGATTTAGAAGTCATTTCATCAACACAATACAATTCATTAACATTGATTATCAAATTTAACATACATTATTGAAAAAAAAAATAAAAAAAAATCAACCAATGGAATATCAACAATCAAATACTCCCACATGAGAAATCAAAATCCATTAAATTAAAATCATGTAAACAAATCCCAAACAACAATAGACAAAAGTAATAAATTAAACAGCCAAAAACCTAAAGTAAAAACCCACAGTATCAAATCATTCACACTCAACTTCATATCACTAGAAACAAACAAGCCACGCATACATCATCACACATGCAAATCCAGTAAAAAAAATCAAATCGTTCTAAAATTCCAATTAACATGATAATTACCGGGTTCGAGTTGGAGTGAGCTGAAAAACAGCCGAGCTGAGCCGAGTACTCGGCTTCATTTTTTCTCGCAAGCCCACTCAATGAGCTGCTAACACATCAGATCTCAGAGAGAACAAGGCTTAGAAAACTAAATTAATTAACTAATCATCAAATAAACCTGTAAAATCGAGATATAATTAATAACCGATTAAACAGCTTTACACACACACACACACACACATATATAAAACGAAAAAGGAAAGAAGATGAAAAAGAAAAGGGACCTTAGTGGGGTTGAGAAAGAGCTCACAGGCTTTTGGTTCAGAGCCTGCACTTGTATGCATATATATGCGGAGAGTGTGTGCGTGTCCGTGTGACTTTGGATACTGTACGGAGAGAGAAATTCTGACAAAATATATATAACAATTTTGGATATTTGCATCTATGTTCCCCAAACATTCACGAAAGTCTCACTTGGGTCTCCATTTAATTATTTTTATTTAAATAAATCCTTTTTATATAGATATTTATCAAAAATTTGTTAACGAGTCATATGCACTGCGCACCCTTCTCCCTTTATCTATTATGAAAGACTCTTTGAAGACGAATGACTTGGGAAAGTTAATACCTTGGGTGTAGCATCCAATCCAGTGTATCCTTATTAGGGAATTGATTATTATCGAGTTTAGCAAAGATTGTTACCAATCTTTTGCATTGTTTGAGCCTCATTATTTGGCAAAGAATGTATTTTTGAATAGTGATTGATGGAGAATGTGCGTTTAAAAAATAATAAAAAGTTTTGAATTTACGTTTACTATTATTTTATTGAAAAATATATAATTGAAAAGAAAAAAATATTTTGAAAATAATGTGAATCTAACAAGGACTTTATAGTTCTCTAAAAATAACAAAAAGAAACAAGAAAAAAAAAGTAGAAAAGTAAAAGTAGATCTTGCTCACTAAATCACATCAGCATACCGTTGTCATCACAATCATTGTCTCGATCATAAGTATTGACAAGAATTCCCTTGATTAAAGTGCTCGTATGTAGTGTATTTAAGTTGTTAACGAAATTTATAACTCATATGGTCCTAAATTGGAAGTTTTAGTATCTAAAGTCAAAAAGAAAATTTAATGGAAACAAGTTGGATTGCTGTGAAAGTCTCGGGACTCCAGATGAAAATTTTGCTAATGATTTTATAGATTCGACTTTGAAAATCGCGAAGGTAATTTAAGGGAACTGAAGGTTAATATAGTAAATTTGAAACTGAAAGTCGAAAAGCTGTACCCAATAAAAAGAAGGAAAGATTATTCAACTACCAATTTACACAAAAAAAAATATTCAACGCGTAAATTCAAAATTTTTTAGGACTTATAAATTGACATTCTCATAAAAATCAATATTCATAACTATATTTTTTTCAAATAATTATTGTCAAACAGAAGCTAAATTAGCCTAGTTTGGGAAGAAAGTTATAAAAAATAAATAAAAATGAGTGATAAATAAATAAATAGTACTTATGAATTTATTGAAATTTGTAGTTGGAAATAAAGTTTGATAATTTATACTTGATTTATAAATTTTACCAAATGAAGGCTTAGATATGATCTTATATATAATAATATTAGAGTATTTTCAATGAACTCTTTAAGCGCTTGTCTGGCAGCGCTTTTTGTCAAAATTAAAATCAATTTTCAGACCGTTGCCACAGTGAAGTGTGTGAGAGAAGTCAAAAATTGCGGCTGTCAACGGGCAAAAAAATGCTTAAAATCAAGGGAAAAAGTGCTGTTAGACATAGCCTAAATATAAGATTCCATCTATTTTAAATAGTCTACCCTTAAAATTATGTCCTAAGAGACTATTCAAATTAACATTTTAAAATAGAAAATAAGTTTGACTCTCCAAATTTGAAGAACAAAATTTAATCTCTATAATTAAATCCATTCTAATTTTCAATAGAGGAAAATAACGTAATAATTTGAAGGAAAATTAGTGAAAATAAAATATATGAAAAACAAAAAATATTTTTTTGATAGTAGTAAAATTAATTATGTAAAAATTTATTTTTCTCCGAACATATTTTCAGCCACATATTCTCTCAATAAAATATTTTGTACGTAAATTTAAATTTTTTTTTATAATTTTTAACCATACATTCTCAAAAAAAAATTAGTATTACAATCTATTTCTCCCAAAAATGGGGCTCAAACATAAAAAAAAAAAATAATAATAATAAAAAATGTTTTGTAATGGTGATTTTTTGGAGGATGTGTGTTAAAAATTAGAAATTTTTTTGAACCTACCCTTGATTGAGCCCCCATTATTCAAAAAATCATTTTTCAAACTCATTTTCGATCACACATTCTTTCAATAAAATAATTTTTAAGTAAATCCATAATTTTTTCCTACTTTTTAACCATATATTCTTTAAAAAATCACTATTGCAATTTTTATTTTTGTTTTGTGAAAAAAAAAAAGGCTCAAACTGGCCATTGTCTGGGCTCCATTTAAAAAAAATACATTTTCCTCTTTTTCTATTTTTAACTACATTTTTTAATAAAATAATATTAAATGTAAATTCAAAAAAATTCTTATTTTTTAATCACAATTTTTTTTAAAACATACTATTTCAAAATACATGTTCTTCCAAAACATATTTTTAACGGAGCCCAAACAGAGGTAAGTGTTAAAGATAAAGAGTTTATTGGAGTACATAAAAAATTGTACTCTCTAAATTCATAGATACTTTCTAAATTGTTAAATATACTTTTTAAAAATAAATAGTATTTTAGAGATTACTCTACACCGGGGTGTCACACCGATGTTGACATCGAGGTGTCACACCGAGGTTGACACCCCAGTATAGAGACCCCCTCACAATGGGGGCCCACAATTTTTTTATTGATCGTGAACCCCCCTCTATTTTGAAGGGATGTACACTGAGGTGTTAGCCCTGATATACAAATAGCAAAACCCAAAAGTAAAAGTTTTTCAATGAACAATTTATAGTGTAAAAAGAAATTATTTGTTCTCAACTACTCTTGTTTCTAATTAGGGATAACAAAATGTCTCAGGTATGTTGTTGTCTCGTCCTATTAGAGAATCAGGACATAGTCCATAAATTCATTTCCAATCTCTTTTTTGTTTTCAAATTGAAGTCGCATTAAAAAAAAAAAACCACAAGTGCATGAAAAAAGGAGCGAGAAATGATACGATTTTACTATTGTTAGCCTCCAAAAAAATCCCGACAACATGGAGGACGGAAAAGGATGAGCCGTTTTGTTGCCATTATCCCTCACATCTCTCTCTTTCCTCCCCTCTCTTTCTTAAAAATTGAAGTGTCGAATCTCATTATTCTATATAAAATGTCACATCATCGATCTACTATCATAATAATTATAAATAGCATTATTCTTCTTACAATTGTATAGAGAAAAAGGATTATCATTTTTAAAACGTATGCAAAAATGTGCTTCTCTCAAGTGTTGCTTTTAAGCACTTTTTTAAGTTTAGTCAAACTTAATCAACTTCTAAAAATAATTATGACTATTTTTATGCTTCATGATCTCCCATGAAGAATCTTTTATATTGAAGAGTACAAATTATTGTCATATATTCAAGTTAATCATCATTTGTCGTGACAAGACTTCTAATGACCATTTATAATTGAATGAAGATCACTGGATGCCCACCACACGGTAGCTTTGCATGATGTTCATGCAACGAATAAATATTCAGAGTTAGTTGAAGGTGTCAAATCGAGATAATTAGTAAAAATTGTATTCTTTGAAATTTAAAATCGTAAGTTTTGTGTGCCTATATAGTGGGATGATAATTGGACGATAAATCACCAACTAATCGGGGAACTAGACGAGGACTGGGATAAAGCCAATGTCCCGAATCGGGTACTTAATAGCAACAAAGAACTACTAAATATATTTAATTATATTTATATTGTAAAAATATAAATATATAAATTGTACTAACGGACTAAAAATTAAAAGACCACACATCCAATTCATGGTTCGTTCAAATGTGAAGTCCATAATTCATGTGATTTCATCTTATTTGTGAAATATAGCGTTTCGTCTTATTGTGAATTTAATCCAACTTTGTATCAACATGTATTGGTCTAGTTCAAATAAGTTGTTGTAATGCTTTGAACTCTATCAAGAATGGTTAAATTTCAAAGTTTATATCTCGAGTTTAAAATATTTTAGTGGCTAAATGTTAGACTTTTGCAAATTTCGAGTATGCAGCATGACGATGCACGCGTGTCGATGAATTTGAAGAAAAAGGTTTTTCAAATGAACAATGCTGGAGTGCCAGGGAGGGTTTGATACCCTCCCCGACAGATCCCTCACAATAGGGGAGAGGGGGGAATTTTTTTCTTTTTTAATTCATATGGGTCCCGCGTGGGTCCCACTACAAATGTGAGGGGATGTCAACTAGAGTGTCAAATTTCTTCTGATAAATAGTTTAATCCTTTTCAAATCCACTCATGAGGTGCATCTGTAAGGCTATTTTGTACAGATCCCCTGATAGCAAAACTCTTCATAAAGTAAGCGAGTGTTATTATGGAAATGTAGTAAAATGAATAGCATAGTGCAGGGGCAGACATTATTTATTGTGGAGTCAAAAATTAGGTTAGAAAAAAGTTTGTAAGTAACATAACATTTATGAAAATAATTGAATATATTATTATAAATGTTGCCTATGGGAGGACTCAGTTTCAATATCCTAGAGTACTGATTTTTTTTATTTTTTTTTT